CCGCCATCAACAAAGAAGAAGTAAAACAGCGAACAGGTTAAGAACCATACTAAACATCTCACATGATAAGCTCCTTAAAGTCTCTTGGGACCTGGACAGGACTATTACAAATGAGAACATTAAGCATTTAAAATAAAATAAGAACCGTGTAGAAACCAAATATGTAATGCAAAAGTATGGTTTAAAGATCTTATACCAAGTCCTTAACCAGATTCTAAAGTATAACTATATAGGCCCAGGTATGAACATTGGTAAATGACGTAGGAGAATGTGGCCCAACCCACTGTCGCACTAACCTCAGAGACAACCACTCCTGAGGCTACAGTTCAGTCAGGTCATCAAGTTGCATGTTCCTTGCAAAACCTCTGCGCAGCATCAGGCGTATCAAAGATCCTGGCCACGCCGTTCACGATGACTCTGAGTCTCGCGGGGTAGAGGAGCGTAAAGCGAACTCCTCTCTGAAACAAAGTTGCTTTGACTTGCTGAAAGGCAGCTCGTCTGCGAGAGAGATCCACGCCGTAGTCCGGAAAAATTCTTAGCTTGTGACCCTTGTAAAGAAGTTCGTCTGCTTTTTCTCAGGGCTCGCTCCTTGTCTTGAAAGCTATGAAAAAAATAATCATAGCTCTGGGTCTTCCACCGGCCGCCCCTCCCACAGCAGGCGAGCGGCCCAGCCGGTGAGCCCTCTCGTTGATCGGTTGGCTTTGAAATAGACCGGGGCCAAACAATTCCTTGAGGAGCTCCGTAGTGAATCCGATCGGATCATTTGACTCCAGACCTTCAGGGATTCCAATAATACGTAGGTTGCACCTCCTAGAGCGGTTCTCCAGCTCGTCTACTTTCTCAACCAGGGAGGTGTTTACCTGCTTAAGTGAGCGACATTCCAGTTCAAGTTGTTCCAACCGAGTGTCATGGGCAGCCGTAGTGGACTCGAGTTCAACAATGTTGTTCCTGAAGGGAATCGAGTCTCTCGCGAATTGGTTGAAGTGATTCGTTCAGAACGCAGATAGTTTTCTCCATTTTGTGGTCGAATTCCACGCCAAAAGCCATAAACCATTTCGGTGGGGTGTCATCATCGAAGGTCCTCTTCGAAGCGGGGGTTTGGGAAGGTACATTTTCAGGAGTATTCAAGCGATTTGTAGTGCCGGGGTCATCGGGGGGGAAGGCCTGAGGGAAGCGCTCTCCGACTGGGAAGAGCTTGCGGTTAGCACCGGTATAGCAACATCAGCTCATCGGGATGCTTGCACAACGGCGGAGGTGGAAGAAATTGGCTTAGAGCCAGGCTTCTCTCTTAGCTGTCTTGACATTTTTAGTATAAAAGGAGTCCACTGTCTTAAAACAAACATTTTACTAAGAACAAAAGTGTAAAAGGTCACCTGTTCGCTGTTAATTTAACAATGCTCTGGGAAGCCGGACCTCGCACGGTCTGCCTAAGCCGCCATTACAACCGGAACTCCCGGCTCTGCACAATGATGATGGGGCTATAAATACCTGTGTACGCCAGGATTCATAGATTGAGAAAAGGTGGTACAGTGCAGTGAATGTCTTGTTTGATGTGTGGAAAACGGTCGCAAAGTAGATGTTACTGATTGGCTGATCACATTTGGGTGTGCCAAAGGCCGCAGTGTGAAGGAAGTACCTGAATTTGCAGGTGTATCAAAGCGTACGGTCATACGGGTCGACCAGCAGTGGCAGAAATCCCGGTCTACAGGACATTTTCATCCGAATTGTGTCCATGAAGGCATCCATGAAATCTGGCCGAACTGCACAATTCTTTGGTGCTCATGGAGGCATTGCACGCTTTTAGGTATGTTTCAGTTACAGGTGACTAATTTTTTGTTCGGTGAGCTTACAAACTGGTCTGAAAGCAAAGGGTGGCCTTAATGCTCATTGGGTACTTGACATGTTGCTGAGTTCTGTTATCGTGTCCATATGGTCCTTATACACATACACAGTCTGTGTTTAACACACAGATGAGCAGGTTGAAAATAATCACAGTTACCAGCTCTGTCACAATCATGCAGCCCTGCTGCAGCTTGACATTTGAATGAAAGCTGTTTTAAATCTGAGGGACAGAAAAAGAGGTGGGCGGTGGGGGGAGATAAAATTGGAAGCCCGTCTGGAGCGACATTTTAAACAGAAATAGATCTTTCGACATGACAGATAAGCTGTGGAAAAAATCATCCATCGTGTGCATCATTATCCACAAGCACTAACTGACCAAGACTCCATTCAGGCGCTTCACTGGAGCTCTGCTTTTCACTGAACTTCATTGCAAGTGGCATGTTGGTTCAATCAGGGTACTAAAAAGGGCTTCAGTGAGGGACCAAATATATCCCACCCACACTGTGACTAGAGTAAGCTGTATCGACAAAATTGAACTACTGCCAAACATGCTATTAATCATGTCAAACATGTCTCAGAATGAATGACACAGTGAATGGGGCCAATCGTAGTCTGGGTAGGGCCTCAAAATGAATTACACGGTCAACAGGACCAATTACAGTCAGGGAAGGGGCTCAAAACGAATGACTCAGTGAATAGGACCAGTTGCAGTCAGGGAAAGGGCTCACTGGGGTGGAACCCTCAAGGATCCATCTCAGTACCTTCAGTCAGGGAACATAACTGAACCATAATCCACTGAAATGATATGTTCTAAGCTGTACTGACTCCACACACCCCGTCTCGTCTCCAGGCTTTTATTTTACTGTTCTGTTTAAAACATTCGGTTATGAAAAGGTACAAATACAAACTTTTCACCTGGAAACACTTATTTAAGGTTCACAATCAGACCTTAGAACCACTGTTGGAGCTTTGAGGGAACATTTACATTGTATGTATCATGAGAAATGTTCCTGCACAGAACCTCTATTTCTTACAGTGAGTCAATAGGGCCAATCGCAGTCAGGAGAGGGTCTCAGAATGAACGGCCCACTGACTAGGGTGATATGTTGCAGTCAGGGGAGGGTCTCAAAATGATTGACGCATTGAATAGGACCAGTAGGAGTCAGGGGAAGATCTTGAAACGAAGGATGCTGTCAGCAGGTCCAATTGCAGTCAGGGTGGGTCTCAGACAGGGAAGACGTGTCAAGATGGAGGGGGAGGGGGGGTCCAGCCCAAAGCAGTTGCTCTTTTTAAAAAAAAATTAGTTTCACCTTCAAGATACTTCAGAAGGGCTTTTTTCTGGTTTTAAAGCTAAAGGTCTCACTCTGGAGACTGTAGCAGCACCGCTGCAGGACGTGAGTAGGAATGTTTACAACAGAGAACATTTCAGTCTGGTTGGGTTGTCCTTTTAACATGAAACAGCTCTTTACTAAGACCGAGTGTGTTTACATGCACTAATAATCAGATTTTTTGCAGTTATCGGATTTTGTCAGTAATCTGATCATTTACATACACTTGGGTAATCAGATAAAGGGGAAACTCCGGGTCTACGTGAGTCAGACAGTAATCAGATTTCGGCTTTGCAACCAGCCAATAAACTCTCAGAAGACGACGTGATGTAGCGTAACGTAAAACCCGAACTTCATACCGTGGCTTTTTTTTTTTCAAACATCGCGCCGCTGTAGCTGAAAATATGAACATCAAATATTACATCATCTAGAAGATAGGGCTGGGCGATATAACGATAAGTATGGCGATATAACTTTTCCTCGATAGAGCGATAAGACAGGTTCGATAAATGTTCGATATAATACACCATTCTCAGACTTCCACGTTTTAGCGAAAGCCCTGGTGGCGTTTTCTACTGCAAGGAAAGCGACACTACTCTGCTGTCGCCAGGAGAGGGCGCACTTCCGAGTTTTTCGACTTGATTAGAGAGGGAGGGGCTACGAGTAAAAAATGGGTCGCCAAATATACTTTAGCAACGGCTGAAACGCGGAGTTATACAGTCCCTGTTTGAGTGGAGCGACCGGCGATCTGTTCTCCTGTGTCCGAGTCTGAGTGACGAGGTCAGTGGTGTAACTGTACTGTCCTACGGTGAACTCACCTCTTTACTAACCTCCTAACAGCTTCAGCGGTGTTAAATCACGTCTGCAGCGCCGTGTTGCAGCGCCAAACCGTCATATTTTAGTATTAGTGCATTCTCGAGCAACGAAAGTGAAAGAAAGAAGTGGTTCATGTTGGAAAGTAAACTGAGGAAGCTGTGAGGCGTTGGAGAGCGGGAGAATGCCGTCTTTCCAGGCTAGCTGTTTTTAGCTGCTGGCTAATTACAGCAGCGCTCCGGCAAAACACGGTGAATTGATGATACTGTAGATCAAACAAGACACAAAATCACCACTTTCAGTTTAAACATGCCTAAAAGGAGGACTCTGTGACTGGTGTGAGAGATTCACACTGCAGATAATGCTTTTACACAGCGAGCGTCAGATACACTGCGGTTCACCCCTTAAACTACTACGGTAGCGTAGAGAAACCCAGCCGTCTAGCTGGTGTCTGAATACTGTGATCTGCTCTGACATGGATGTGGTAGGAGTGACCGCAGTGACCTACCGAACCGAGCTGACGTTGTTGAGAAACTAAAGAGTTTAGCTCTGTTGTTGGCCACTTGTTTAGCGTTTGTTGCGGGGTAGCCGAGCGCTCGACACCAGACAGCTAAAATAATCTGCTTTCTTTCTTAAATCATGACTATTACAAAAACTGCAGCTGTGCTTTTCCAGCTGATAAAAGCAGCTCAGAAACTTTCTCCCACTGTCCCAAGACAGATCAGTGAAATGTTCCACTGTTTGCCGAGTGTTTGTCATGATCAGACCATAAGTGATAGTTTAAAACCACAGTTAACCCCCCAGGAGCAAAATCATGATTTGACATTTATCGCGATACGTATCGATATCGAACGATATGAGTTTTGTTTATCGTGATAACGTTTTTGGCCATATCGCCCAGCTCTACTAGAAGATGAACATTTAAATCCTTCATTTCGTTTTTGGTTTCTATGTTTCTGTTTCTGGCTTTAAAGCACACCGTAAATAAGTAAATGAACATTTTGTTGTTTTCTCCAGGGAGCTCCCTCTCCTGCGATCTGGTCTCTCATACCTGGCAACTGACTCACTGATCTTTTGGTGACCATCCTTGACCGTAATCATTGACCTGCAGTAATGGGGCGGAAGCTGGACCTGTCTGGACTGACCGACGACGAGGCGGAGCATGTGCTCAGAGTGGTGCAGAGAGACATGAAGCTCCGCAAGAAGGAGGAGGAGCGACTGAGGTAAGTGCACTTTGACTTGCTTTCACTCTGGCTGTTTATTCCGGAAGACCAGAGTGAATCTACAGTACCAGGCAAAAGTTTGGACACACCTACTCAGAGAATCTTACGCGTATTAAAATAATATGATAGTGAAGACATCAAAACAGTGCCGGAACACACACGGAACAGACTCAGAAAGAAGGTCCGGCTCGATGTTTAGATCTCAAATGATCTCAAAATCAACATCATACTGATGAAGATGTGATGATAATAGTAGATAATTCACCCACATCCTCAGAGACGCTCCTTCACCAAGTTTACACTGAGCTCTCTTTGAATTCTCTTTTGGCGCACTTGAAAAAGTCACACTGATTCGCTTGAGGGGGGTCCGAAGCACAACTAACATTATACAATGTTCCTTTGCACATTGCACGCAATCACACATTCCCACCAGAGGGGTCTCCAAATCCCCAAATCCTACAGTGTTGTGTTAAAGAACCATTGAGATCAAAATGTCTTAAGATTGAGGAAAACATACATTGAATCAGAACGTGTCCAGACTACTGACTTATGATGTCGTCTGTCGCTCAGTGGTGGAGAAATGCACACTTTGTCATTTTGTTCATGTTTTTATGGCTGCAAATTGTGGTCTTATGAAGCCTCCTTTATTCAAGACAAGCTAGGAAAGGAGATGCTTTGTGGCACAAGACTCTCTCCCTCCTCCTTTCTGCCTGTTAGGCTGCATTATTCAAGTGCTTCTCTTTGTTTTGTTGTCCCTTGTCTTTTTTGACGCTTTCAGCAACTCTTAACAATCCCAGTCTGCTCCACTGAGAATAACTAATCACCGGGCTGTCAGGGTGATGTACGAGGGTTCTGTTCTGTTCTGCTGTTCTGTATCTTCAGTGCCTACTGCACCGGCGCATCATGTACGTTGAGCGCATTGTGGCTTTCCCCAGTGGGAGTCCATCCCACTTTTAAAGTAGGACGAGTCGGGGCAGTTCTTTCTGTGGTTTGGAATCACATTGGGTCTGACTGTTGTAGACTGTATTAGAGCTCAGGTCAGAGCAATAGCCACCTTATGACCAGCTTTGACCCTTAAATGCGTGAGTGTTTGACCCGTTTGTTAGATATTATTGGGTCACTAATGACCTGAATGTACAAAGTGCCATGGTGTTGTACGTTTTTCAAAAAGGTTTATAAAAAAGGTTGATTTTATTGGGGAAATTTGGGAAAATCCATATTTAAGTTTGTATCCTGTCAAATTTTTTCACTCAAAAATGTACAACATAAATAAAAGCAACTAATCTAGTTATTTGTAATAACTAAACTAAAATATTTACACTGATTATGTTCAAAAGTGGAAATATCTTGTTAAAAGGGGGATTAACCCCCCCCCCCATAACAATGCTAATTTGTCACCACTTTATTATATCAAGGCTATGAACAAAGGGTTGAAAAGCCACCTCTATACATCTCAGTACAGAGCATCATCAGTCAGAGCTTTTTCTCATGAAAAATATTGTTTCTCCTCCCTCTGTTGGTGACATGTATTACCCAGAGGCCTCAGTGTTGTCTCTCTGTGGCATCATGCTCATCTCACTGTTGGCCTGTTTGGTCAGAAGCTTTACCCTCTGTTTGATGACTCAGTGCTTCTGTCAGACCCCCCCAACCCCCCTGTCCAGCCTCTCGTCTCTCAGCATGTGACCTCTGAGCCAAGTTGGAGCTCAAATGGACAGTCAAAAGCTCCATGTGGGTCTCACCATGACCGCAAAGCTGAAATTTTGTCAGATGTTTTCTGTAGAGAGCAGGAGGTAATGTAGTTTGTGAACTGTTAAAAGGGAGGAAACTGGCTGTGAGGAACGAATAAGCGCGCAGCCACATTTTGCCATGAAGTATAACTGGTGTAAAAGGCTATTAAACTGCATCAGTTCATAAATCAAGTATAATCAGTTATAACAATGTGCTTTGAGTGTGAATTGAGTTATTTTTAAAACACATTTCACTATTATATAAAAAGTTACTCCAGCTACATTTATATATTTAGTGTTTTTATATCATTATATAAAGCGGTCACACATCCCTCAGGTCATATTCTCTGACTCAAAGAATTCTCTGGGAGATTACGTGACTCTGACTTCATGGACTTCATTCCAGGTCACATGACTTTTAATACATTTCACCTGTTTCCATTTACCGTGTGATTTTTGTAGTTGGTATATAAAGCCGGTCTTTAGGTATTGCATGTACATGTCGGAGCTTTAGGTTCTCCACTCAGAGCCTGAGTGTTATTCTTTTGCATGTATTTTTCCTGTATATATAATCTGATTCTCTGTATTTTTGACTTTACCTGTATTTCTTGCCTGATTGGACTGGTTCACCTGGATTACCTGTTAGGATTCTGTTTGCCAACGCTCAGCTCTGGTCCTGACCCATGCCTGTTACCTGACTATGTCTGTAGATGATCCTCTTTTCCAGTAAAGCCTTAGTCAAGTACCTTGACCACAAGCGTGTGACTCATAACAGGCCACCCAGCCTGTCCGGTAACAAAAGCACTAAGATTTCATGTTGTCAGTTATCAGATATTTTAATGTCTGATCGACAGTACCAATGATTTTCCGGACAACAGAGGTCAAAACCAGAGGTCCCCTGACAATCAGTCTGTCCGATTTTTCCTGTGGATGAAGTTTTATACAGAACTGTATTAAAGGTGTGGAATACAGGGAGTCCTGGGGTGTCTGGGACCTTCAAATTAACTTCCTGGACCCTCTGAATGCCTCAGTCAATTCCAGAGGGGTCCCTGAAAAACTTTTATGCTGATTGTTAGCAAAAATAGATGCTCAATTAAAGATTCAGTGAAGCTGATTGTTTATCTGCTTCGCCCACAATCAGCTTCTGTCTTTGATATTCTTAACTAACTAGAGCTGCAGCACTGCTCTGCCTCAGGGTGGCGCTGTAGCAGACTGTTCACCCAGGTGGTCTTTCATAGTCTAGAAACTGTGATTCTGTAGACCTCAAACTCTCATTTCTCAAACCAAAGACAAAAGAGATGTGGAGGACGGCAATTAATGTTTTAATGCATCGACGCTGATATAGTGAGTTAGAGAGTGAGTTAGCAGCCCACCGGTGCTGAGTAGTGAGCCAACACGGGACCCCCGGAAACACACAAACTATGATCTTAGTTCATGACCTCATCCTCCAGGCTTGAAGAGCCAATCAGACATCTGCGAAAGCCGACATCTCCGTGTTACGCTGAAATGCTACTCCATCTCTCAGCTGGTGCTGATCAAACAGCTGGTTCCTTTGAACAGCATAAGGGGAGACACACACACACACACACACACACACACACACACACACACACACACACACACACACACACAGCTGAGTGGACCGATATGTCTCAGAACCGACAGAGGGCCTCATTAAGGAAGTGAAAGCTGTGTCGTTGTCTGTCTGAATTTGCCGATTGTCACAGCAAATCTGTTCACACAGGACGAGCTGCTCGTTCAGCGCCGACAAAGGGTTCAGATGGAAATGAAGCCAGAGAGGATGAGATCCTCCCTCATTTGACTCGAGCACTGCTGACATTTACAGTCAGTCTCTGTTCATCATTTTCCTCTACCTTCCCTCCTCTATTTCACTTCAGTTTAAGACCCCCCCCCCAACACACACACACACACACACACACACCTTTCTCTCTGTCTTGCAAAATATGGTTTGGAGACTGAACTCAGTGTCTTTCTAGCCTATTTACTTTCCTACCTATCTCTCCACTACTTCTCTCTCTCTCGCTCTCTCTCTCTCTCTGTTCTCTCTTGCGCGCTCTCTCTCTCTCTCTCTCTCTCTCTCTCTCTCTCTCTCTCTCTCTCTCTCTCTCTCTCTCTCTCTCTGTTCTCTCTTGCTCTCTCTCTCTCTCCTCTCTCTCTCTCTCTCTGTTCTATCTTGCTCTCTCTCTCTCTCTCTCTCTCTCTCTCTCTCTTCTTCTTCTTCTTCTTCTTCTTCTTCTTCTTCTTCTCCTTTCTTTCTTTCTTTCTTTCTCTCTCTCTCTCTCTCTCTCTCTCTCTCTCTCTCTCTCTCTCTCTCTCTCTCTCTGTTCTCTCTCTCTGTTCTCTCTTGCTCTCTCTCCTCTCTCTCTCTGTCTCTCAGCTCCATCTATTTCTCCTTTTCTTTCCTGCATCGATTGGCTGCAGTGCGATCGATCGCTTTGCTTGTGTTTTAAACAGAAGGGCTTTGGTTCTGCCGGGTCACTCATTTCTGCAATCCGGTTCAGTTTGGTTCAGGCGGAGCTCAGCTCAGCAGGGGGAGATACTCAGTCCAGCAGAAAGGCCTGTGTGCTGCTTTAACCCTGCTGGCCGCTGCCCCACAATGCACTGCACTAGCTGATCAGTCTGGACTTGTTTGGTGTCTGAAGTTTCCTTCTTTAGTTTTACACTAAAGCTACGAGGCTAATGTAGCTAATAGTTTATTGAATAGTTTATAGTTTACTGAAAACTGTCATACAGTGTCTGAAGCCGCATAAGCAAATCTATGAGATTTAACAGCTCAGAATAGTTTGAGGTGAGTATGTGATGATTTAGGTGTGCAACTTCCATCACTTGTTAGCTACATTAGCTCCAAAACTAAAGACGAAGGTCTAATCTGACTGTAAAATAAGCACATGCACATTTCACCAACAGTTCTGTTATTCATTTATTCACTTCATGTTTGGTGCGTCTGTACAGTCAAGCTCATGTCGTAGTGGTTCGAGTGTGTAAATTTGAGCGTTAATTTAATTCCATGAAAAAAAATATGATTTGTGGCTAACTAACCCAAACTATTATCAATATCATCTATAATCCCAATAAAAAAAAGTAAAAAAAAAAATAGAAATAACACAAACATAAAAAATAAAAAAATATACATAACATAAAATAATAAATAATAAATAAAACAAAAACAAAAACACTAATACAAAATCTGTGCATATGGCAGTGCAGTCAGTAGTGGATGTACTTATTTTACTTGCACATTAGTGTAAACAA